CCCCAAAACCCCAAAACCCCAAAACCCCAAAACCCCAAAACCCCATGCAAATCTAAGTGAATTGATTATGAAAATAGTTAATATTTCCAATATGGGAACAAATCTTATTTCAAAGGATCTAATGGATTACAACTGGGCATTTCTGAATGTAGATGTGTTGAAGTTAAACCTGGGTTGATTATTCCCTGCTTCTCCAAGCTTAGTTTCCATATTATAACCTCCTTGCGCTCTCTGAAGCATTATAGACTCTGTTTCGCTCTTATTGCTGTTCATGGCATCACTATTGGAAGCTACCCTCTTAATGTAGTTGCCAAATTTGTTGTCTAAAATGATCAGCCTGGCTTACTCTGGAAGATTTGTGAATTGTGTGCAGCATTGGGTGACCCTCGTTCATCGAAATTAGGGCGGCTCATATCCTTAGGGTTAGACGTATTATTTGTATTGACAACTCCAAGACTATCACATTGACTTATCAGCAAGTTTCCGTTTTCTTGAACTTCAATAGTGAGCTTTTTCCCTCTCATTGTGGCTATGTTGAGAGGTTCAGCCAGCTTGTTGAGATCAACTAGCTTAGTGTGAGCTGAATGAGGTGCTAATGAGCTTCCTCCCTGGATGCTCAGATTTATCTGAACATTTCTGTCCTTCTCAATCACAGGGGGTCTACTGTCAGACTTCGGAAACATAGAGGCTGTGAAATTGGAAATATTTGGCTTGGGTGGGGGATTGAGATAGTCAACATTTATATCAGTAGGCTTTGAAAAATTCACTTTGTTCTTCCCAGGAAGAGAGTGAAAATCAAAATTCTGAAACATGAAGCTATGTGTCAGGTTGGAGTTATTAGACACATTCATCTGTTGAGGATCAGATTCATTATTGAATAGAAACTTTGGAGGGATTGAGTAGTTCGGATACATTAGATTTGGGTTTGAATGCTCTTGGAACTCTCCATCTTTAAATGTGTTCTTGAACCCAAAGAATTGTTTGCTTGGCATCTTAGTAGGCCTTATTGCTTGAGGTTCGAAAGTAGGAATTTTCTTTCCTTTTAAATCTTCATCACTACTCCCAGATCCATCGTTTTTCAACGCTCTAAAGAGATTCTTGTGGCCATCAGGAACAAGTTTCGGATCCACATATTTCTCCACTTTCTTAGTAACTTTCTCATTACTACCTTTATTAGATGGATTCCCAATTTTGTTTGGAGTAGGACTAACTTCTTGCTTTTGCAGTGATTCAATCTTTTCATTCTTCAGCGGGGAAGCAGTAATAGTAGGTTTCATCTGAAGGTTCAGCTCATTCATAAATTTATCTATATCACATGATTGTACTTCAAGAACAAGATCGAATATAACTGAAACGTTTAGAGGAAAGGACTAATCCTACCATTATGATATTGCATAAATTTAGGACCACCTACCTTCTTCTTGCTTGACCTTCTCTTTCACAACTCTCTTATTCAGGCCATGGCTGAGGGTACTTTTGGGATTTCCGATAGAATTTTGATCAAATTCTATCGCTTGATATTTATATAGCTCATCTTTGTGTTCTTCTCTGAAGTACTTTCAGATCTTCATTAAAGTGAGTAAAGCAATTTTGTCATGATCTATCTCAGGAGTAACTGATCTTTGAGTCCTGCTTCTGCCTAATCTTGAAGAACGCCTAATGAAGGATGTTAATAAAATATACATTTTGAGATAGGAAGTTCAGCTACTACAGCTTCAATTAGATTCTAAGAGAGTATTATTTAAGTCAAAGTTCAATCAATTAACTAAATTAAGATTCTCACCTATTTCTTTGGTCATTAATAATCTGAGTTTCTTTATTTCTGCTCTAGGCTACTAGATACAGTTTGTTTAAAAGTATTAACCATTTCTTGGTCAATACCCTCCAAGGATTCCTTAAACAACATATTGATATCATCATAGTCTATGGAAAGTTAGGTTAGCTTTAAGGTTTACATACTCATTAAGCCATCTTTAAGAAGTTTACTCAGATCCTCAATTGTAACTTCTCTCAGCTTCTTTTCTTCTGGAAGGTGGCTATAAAGTTCTTGGAACTTTCTAGAGAACAACAGCATGTTTATCTTTTTCACCTGCCGTCTTAGGATACTATGAAATTGATTCTTGATGGCATTATCTGTCCTTCCTGGGATTTCATTCGATATTTGAGCCCATTTGTTTCCATATTTACGATGGAGTTTAAAGATCTGAATCTCTTCTTCTATACTGATGGGGTCCTTCTTTATATCGGGATCGAGATGGTTATGCCACCTCTCGCGGCATTGCTTGGCAGATCTTCTCCCAATATTGTATTTCTTCTTCATCATTTGTGAAATTAGTGTCCATTTGGTAGTTCCGAACTCTTGGATAAGTTTGACGATGGCTAAAATTAAATAAATCAAATTTTCAAACAATTTTAATTCTAAATAACACGAATGCTTACCTTCGTCTTCTTCCTTTAACCAATGTTTTCTCTTTGGTCCTTTTGTGCCTACAAACAATTGTCAATACAAAAAATCATTCTGCCAAAACCTGGGATGTCTTACCCTTCTTATCATTGGTCTTATCAACAGGATCATAGGCCATATCATGCCTATAATCATTGCTATACTCTGAATTTTTCATCGAAGACATTTTATCTTAAGTAAACTTCGAAATTGTATTAACTTTATATTATATCAATCTTTTCATAACTTTATGGGGTTTTGGGGTTTTGGGGTTTTGGGGTTTTGGGG